TATATATATATATATATATATATATATATATATATAAATACATATATAATATATATATATTCATATATAGGGCATTAATATATTTGTGACATATGATATTTTGCAGGCCAAAACAAACACAACAGTTAATATATAAAAATGTCGATTGAAGTTTATTTATTAAATTATAAATGAAATGAAGATGGAAAAAGATAATGATGTAACTGAAATTCATCTGTCTTTTTCTCTGTTTCACTTTATCTAATGAAAACTTAAAGTGTTTAATAAATAAGTCTCAATCAATATTTTTATATATCAAATTTTTTATTTGTTTTGACTTCTTGAATTTTGAAAATTTTCTAAAAATGTTCCATAAATACATTAATATCCTATATATAAAAAATATAGAAGTAGCTAATCCTTATGCACTGTAATTACAGTGTTCAATTTTGGAAGTGGTATCAGTAGATTTTTTATATTCCTTTTCTACTAAATTATAACATATAAATATTTTGCATGATCAGAAATAACTCTTATATAATTTTAGATTTTTCAATAAAATTAGAAATTTAGCATAAAAAACATGAGTTTTTAAAAAGATTTAATGTTTTAATCTTTTCAGAATAACCATCTCACTAATCAATATGTTTAAGTGTGTTGTGTTAAGTTATTGTTTACATAACGATAAAATGTTCGAAAGTAAAAACAAAGAATTAATTAAAATCTTAATTTTTTGTAATATAGGTTGTATTCTCAGAAACATCTCGGCGAGATACTGGAATCCGTTATTGCGGCTGGCGAATCGTAATCACCAAAAAGCGGAAGTCAATAAATAAATTTTTCTCTTTTTATTTGAGCAAAATCAAATTACCTCACATGAAAAAATAGATTTAAAAAATAATAAGAATTTCAGTCAAAAGGAAAATAATAAAAACAAAAATTGCGTAATAAAATAAAATAAAAAAAAACCAAATATTAAACAGTATAGAAAAATATGTAGATCTAGATATGTAAACTTTACGAAACGTGACTTTGTATAAATGTAACGTTAATAAAATTCTTTATTGATCTCATATACTTCATATAAACGAAAAAAAAATGAATTAATTATTGAAACCTTTAAAATTTAAATAATTATGATTTTAATGAAAAAAGATGATATATTATGAAATTTTTTTCTTCAGAAGACTGGATGCAAATGAAATTCATAATGTGATGTGAATGTTGCAGCATTGTAAAGATATGTATAAATTATATTAAACGAAAAAAAAATATAGCATGATAATGCAAATTCAATTACAAATACGTAAAATTATGGCCTGAAAATTAATAAAAACGTGTGTAAATACACATCTTTCATGTATTGTGCACGATCGTATTTATTATATTGTAATAGATGCAAAATAAATAAAAAGCAAAATATCAATGTTATTTATTTATTTACATCATAAAGATCCTCTAAAACACCTTTAAATAAATAATTCGATGATAAATTTATTAAAATAATTTTTTCTAAAACGAGTCTAGTTATAGATGAAACTAAATTTATCTTATACATTATCATGATGATTCTATCTATCTTCATATCATATAAAAGAGTCATAAATACATTCATTGTCAAAAGATATCTTTCTCAAGGTAATATTTTCTATTTTTAAGAAATGTTTCATTTATATTCCTAATACATTAGATAAAATTGTAGATACTATAAAACGTAATTTGTTTCTGAAAACTTTATAGAAAAAAAGGAATTCTATTTTATCATATTGTCAAATAAGAAATCTTATCTTTTATATATAGAAAATATTTTTAAAAATTTTGCATTATTAATATTTATGCAAAAAAAAATAAACAAGTTTAATGATTTTAATATATTAAAATATTACAATATATGAAATAATAAAAATATAAGATAAAAATATAAAATAAAGTATTGATAAATTAATATAAAATGAATACTTTTAAAAAAATATTAAAGCAAAAACTAATATTAAGAACAATTATTGGTGTATGTACTGGAATTTTATTAGGATTTGTTCTTAAAACTTTTACTCTTCAACCATGGTCTAAACGAGATATAATGTATCTAAAATTTCCTGGGGAACTATTCATGAGATTAGTAAATTGCTTAATACTACCTCTTATAACATCTAGTATAGTGAGTGCTACTTGCAACTTAAAAAAATCAGGTCAGTCAACTTAAATACAAACTACTTTAAATTGTTTTTCTATCTATTTGCAAATAAGAACTTTTTTTTACATAGTAAAAAATTTTTAAATATACGTAGGTCATATTGGAACAATGGCACTATATTACTATATTACAACAACACTACTTGGAATTATATTAAGTGTTATACTTGTTCAAACAATAAGACCTGGTGATTTACTTAAAAATAAAAATATCATATCACAAAATGCAACCAGATCATTTATAACAGTGGATACAATTTTAGATTTATTTCGGTACTTTATTCATAATAATAATAATCAAATCCTATTTTGTGTTTTTATTTATTAAATTTATTTTTTTATTTATATTACAGAAATTTCATACCAGAAAATATAGTGAATGCATGTTTATTTCAGGTAATAACATTTTATGTTTTTATCTTTCACATATTACAATTAATTTAATTTAACAACAAAAAAAATAATAAAATATTTTTAGTATCAAACTGTATTAGAAAAATCAAAAAATGAATCAGGTATGTAACATAACAATAAAGAGAAATTAAATTTGTAAAACTTAAATTAAAAACTTAATTTTTATTTTTTAGTACCAATCGATGAATGGGAAATAAATCATATTAATATAGCAGGAACAAATGTTTTAGGATTAGTAGCCTTTAGTTTAATCTTGGGACTTGCAATTGGAAATATAGATGCTAAAGGAGAACCTTTAATAAATTTTTTTCAATCTTTATCAGATGCAATGATGAAAATTATGAGTTGGACAATAATGTAAAATTACATACTCTTAAATATTTAAACAAGAAAGAAATAAGTTTTTATTATATGTAAACATTCATTTTGTAATAGGCTTGTACCAATAAGTGCATTATTTCTTATTTCTGCAAAAATTCTTGAAGTGGAAGATTTTAATAATGTAATAAAACAACTTGGAATTTATATTTTAACTGTTTTCAGTGGTTTACTCATACAAGGTTTAATATTACTTCCTTTATTATATTTTATATGTACTCGTCAATCCCCATACAAAATTATAGTTAACCTTGGACCAGCTTTTGTCACAGCATTTGGTACATCATCAAGGTAATCAATTAAAATAAAATTTTTATTTTTATTACTTATTAATAAATATTATTACTTATTATAAATATTTAATAATTAGTACAGCTACAGTTCCAGTAACAATATCATGCTTAAAACATATTGGAATACCTTCTAAAATATCTAGATTTATTGTACCAATTGGTGCAACTATAAACATGGATGGTATAGCACTATATGAAAGTATTGGTGCAATTTTCATAATTCAATTGCATGGATTACAATTTTCATTATTTAAAATTATTATAATCTGGTTTGTATTTCTCTAAATTAATCTGTATTATAATTAATAACATAATAATATTAAAAAATTTTGCAGCATAACATGTACTCTATCATGTATTGGTGCTGCTGGCTTACCAAGCGGTGGTTATGTAATGTTAATAATGGTATTAAATTCCGTGGGAGTTCCAGTAGAAGATGTTTCATTAATTATTGCGATTGATTGGTTTGTGTAAGCATCTTATGATTGCATTTATATATTTTTAAATATCTATTTATAAAAATTAATATAAATTTAATTTTTAGAGATCGTTTTAGAACCACCTTAAATATTGTGGCGGATGCATTAGGTGCTGGTATAATAACTCATTATTACAAAAAAAATATGCAAACTTCCATTCAAGAAGAAGAAATGGAATTATATATTTCCACATAACATATTATAATAATAATAATAATAATAATAATAATAAGTCGATTTTTAATAAGTCAAGAAATATTTAAATATTTAAAATATAAAAATAATATTAAATCATAATAAAAACTCATATATATAATAAAAAAAATTATTATAAATTTATAATATAAAAATTAATCATAATAAAAGAAAATAATAACTTATCAATAAAAATATTTTTATATTTTAAACATAAATTTTATATATATATATTTTTTTAATACAATAGTAAATTATTAAAATAAATTCAGAATTGAATATATTAAAAACTTAGTATATTGCACGTATAAATTTTCATAAAAAAAATTCAAATTCTATAAACAATAATATATATATTTTTATTAATTATAATTATTTCAAATGATTTTGAAGTATAAATATTTTACAATTGTCTTTTATACATTTTAATAAATATATAAGTACAATTCCTAAATTCCAAAAATTCAAATTACATTGAATTTATCTGTTAACTATCATATAAATATTTTAAGTATTCTAAAATACATTAAAAATCTACTGAGAATGTTTTGACATAATACAAACATATCTGTATACAACATATTCTATGATACTTGCTGGTGAGTAAACCTAACTTTTTTGACGCGCTGCTGCAGCGTCTCTTGTGACATTTTCTAGAAGTGAAAAGTCTATCTATGTGAATACTGCATGTATAGGAGAGAGATTTCAGAATGGCGACTGTCTTTACTTAGGAGAGTACTTATTCCCGCCCAGAAATTGTATAATTAACGTGTGTCTTTGGAAAGTTCCATGTGTTTTTCATCACATATTCACTGAAAATGATAATAGAGAATCCAGATCAATTCAAGGCGTGGCTCACTGCCGTCTTGGAGCCACTGTAAGTAGGCCAGCTTGTCCGAGTACGGTTTTAAGTGTATGTGTATGCATTTGATGTTGTAAATGGCCGTACATGTGCTATGCTTTACACCCTATGCAGAATTATATTTACATGTATTACCCTGCCTGCCCTTCAATGATCATCGATAGATCATGTTTGACACTGTTCCTTCGCTGAATTTATTATGCTTTTAATAATAAGTAATCAAATAATAATGTGTCTAATTTTCTAATGTATTTCATATCTATTTTAAAGCGAACGTATTTCGAATAATTGAACGTAGAATATTCAATTCTATTGCGTTTTAATTCGCAACATGAATTTTATGTATATTTCTTTTAAATATCGTAATAAAAATATGTTTTTAATTTACTAATCATCCTACATAAACAACTTAAGCAATGGCTTATTCTAAAATGATTTGTTGACAATAATGCTTAATTAAAACATTGTTTATCCTTAAAAAGAAATCAATATTTGAAATATCTATTTCTTTCATTAATAATTTTCATTAAATAAACTTTAATAATCACAAAAATACCTAATACATAATAAAATAAAGAATGCTTTAATTAAATAGAAATGTTAAGTAAAAAGATCAAATAAATTTAAAATTATATATATATTGAATTATATTTTTTATATTGTAAGAAATAATTTTTTTATTGATATAAATTAATTGATAATATGTAACTAACTTCATTTATTCATTTGTAATTTATTGATTTAGTAAAGTTTAACCTTTTGTTTTGCATTTTACAACTTGTAAACATGATATAATTTTATAGAATATTACAAATAATAAAATATACATATTGCTATATAATTTACCATATTATATCTAATAATTATTTATTATATAAATATGATTATTATTTAAAAACTTTGTTATATAAATTAATATATAATTTGTGTATTTATTATACAAACATCATATCAATATCTTATAATTATTGTTTCAAATATTAATATCAATATAATTTTTCAGTTGTGATGCAGATCCTGCAGCATTAGCAAAATATGTATATGCTCTTGTTAAGAAGGACAAAACATTGGAAGAATTACGAGGTGGAATGGTTGAACAGCTTGATGTATTTTTACAGCAAGGTATATTTCAAAATATTATTAAATTTAAATGACATTATTTAATTTATTTTATTTTATAATATATTTCTTATAGAAACAAAAAATTTTGTGGAATTGTTATTTAAAACATTAGAAACTCAAGAATATGTTCTTCCACCTCCAAAAAGTGATCCAGATGGTGGTGGGACACCACCAGGTATAAATCCACCACCACCTGCATTAAACACAGAAAAAGTAACTGAAAGTACAATTCCAATTACTTCTATGAATACAAATCCTCCTGCTCCATTACAAATGAATGGATCTGCACCTATGGCAATAGGCAAACGTGAAACTAGAAAATCAGATTCTGAAAAAGTTGATAAAGAAAAAGAAAAACGTTCTAGGAGTCGGTGAGTTTCATTCAAATTATATATTAATAAAATGATAAAATGTTTATATAGTTTTTTAAAACATAATCTAAATATTTTAGAAGTGGTCGAATGAGATCACGAACAAGATCTCGTTCACGTTCATGGGAAAGAGATAGACGTAGATCAAGGAGCAGAGAACATATTCGTCGCGATCGAGAACGTGATAGAAGTCGACCATGGAGAAATGAGTCGCCACCAAATACGCGACGGCATGATAGAAGGTTTATATAAATTTTATTTCAAATAATAAAACAATTTAATTTATAGTTTTTTCTACAACATTTAGTTTTTTTAGACGAAGCAGAAGTCGTAGTACATCACCAATACGTCCAAGAATACGAGATGGTCCTGATAATCGTGACCATAGGGCACGATTTAGAAATAGATCTCCAACACCACTTCGATCTAGATCTCGTTCAAGATCATTAGAACGAAAAAAGATAGATCGCTCTGAAAGAATGGAAGTAGATAGAACAGAAAGAATTGATGGGAGTCCTGGTGGTGGTACTCCAACTCAGGATAGTAATCATGGAGATGTAGACATGAGGTTGTCTACTACTAGTCAATCAATTCAAAGTGTCGTTGCAGTTGCCTCTAGTGTTCCAAATAGCCAACCAGGTTTTCAAACTAAGAGAAGATGTAGAGATTTTGATGGTTTGTATTTTTTAAATTGTTTCATAAAAAAATTTAATAATAAAACATTAAATTGTTTCATAAAAAATTTAATAATAAAACATAATTAATATTTACAGAAAAAGGATATTGTATGAGAGGTGATCTCTGCCCCTATGATCATGGTACAGATCCAGTTGTATTAGAAGATGTAGCTCTAAGTCGTGTTCTCACTTTTGGGCCACATAGTGCTCAAGCACCAGGAACAGTACCTGTAACAGCAGTTCCAGAACCACCTCCAGGACCTAATGGAAATGCTCCACCACAACATCTTCCTCTTGCCAGTTTACCTCCTCCACATTTAAGAAATCAACATCATTCTAATATGGTATATTTTTATATAAAATTATAATTTTGTATATTTTCTATATATAATTTTTAATATATAGTTATATATATATTATATATAGATATAATCATTTTCATATAAATTTCAATAGATGCTTTTGCGGAATACAATCCAGACGCACCAAGTATGGAACCCCGAATGCCATGGGGTAGACATCCTCAACCTGGACCTGCAATTTATGGAAGAGGTCAACGGGAATTAATTAGTGTGCCAGTAATTCCACATACAAACTCGTCCGAAATAACACATACTCAAACGAATCCATTAAAACGTAAACAAACATTTGATTTTAACCGTCTTGGACCAAAACAACGAGTGGTACATAATCCAGCTAATTGTTCTCTGGAATTAAAAAAAGTTCCACGTAGTTTGAACAACATAACCCAGTTAAATAATCATTTTTCAAAATTTGGTAAAATTGTAAATATCCAAGTTAATTTCGGTGGAGATCCTGAGGGAGCGTTGGTTACCTTCCAGTTACCAGCTGAAGCAAAGGCTGCATACAGAAGTACAGAGGCTGTGTTGAATAATAGATTTATCAAAGTTTTTTGGCATAACAATATTAACAACAATGCATCTGGTGGTGCCATTGAAAATGTACCACCCGGTAAGTTATCAATACATATCCTTTATATTATTTTTTCATAAATCTTAACTTATCAATTTGTCAATTATTTTAAAAACTTCAGTATTTAATATATTGTTTATTTCATTTAGGATGTCGACCATCTGTTAAAGAACGATTAGGTGCTGCTGTCACTGTGCCAGCAAAGACCGAAGAAAATGAATATATTCCCACTCGTCGTTCAACCGAAGAACAAGTTTCACAAACATTGGTTCCAACATCGCCAAAAACTACTACTGTTCCTACGCGAGAAGACAAAGTTCTTGCAATAAAAAAGACACAGGAGATATTAGCTGCTAAGGAAACATTAAAGAAGAAACAAGAAGAGAAACGTAAAGAAGCATTAAAATTAACTGCTGATTTACGTAAAAGGAAACAAGAATTATTAGATAAGCATTTGATAGAAATTCGAGCTTTAATTGACAAAGCTGAAAAAAATCCAGAACAAAAAGATGCAATTATGGCAACGATCAAAACAATGCAACAATCTATTGATAATTTACGTAAAGATTTGGCTGCAAATGGCCAAATTGGTGGAAATAAGACACAAATCAAATCTAGAGAACAAACTCAAAAAGAGATTTTAGATGCAGAATTAGATTTAATGACTGCACAACAAGAAGGACAAGACGCTGGGGAATTGCAAAAAAGATTAAATGAATTACGAGCACAAGCTGCCGCATTAGGTTTAAATGCAGGTTCAGCTATTGGTAGAGGTACAAGATCTAGTAGAGTTATACGAGGTAGTCATGCATTATCATATAGGGGTCGTGGTAGAGGGAGTTTTGCCCACGTTTCGGTAGATCACAGACCGACAAGTCTTCTAGTCTCTGGTTACGAAACCGAAGAAAAGGCTGAAGTTTTAGCACATTTTCAAGTAAGATTAATTCTCTACATACATATTTTTTATATATTATATATATCATGTATATTAAAATTTATATTATGTTTTTTTATATTTTTTATATTTTAGCAATTTGGAGAAATAGTCAATCAAATAGTAGATGACGCAACACCTTCGATCGTAATTAATTTTAAATCTAGAAAAGAAGCCGAAATAGCTTTAGTAAAAGGACGCACATTTCAAGATAGATTATTATCTATAACATGGGTCTCTGGACATCATCTCCATCGTGGTGGTGGTGGTAGTAATACAAACGCATCCGTACAACTTTCTTCACGTTCTGAACAAGCACCACCTACTACCGACGAAGATATTGACTTAGAAGTGAGTTCTTAAAAATTAAATTTATCATGTGATTTCTAAACCTAAAAATCTAAAAATGCAATTATCTGTATTTTATTTTATTTTTATTGAAAACTTTTACTCATTTTCTGATATACAAATAAATGATAAAAATATGAAATATTTTGTTTGTTTTTTTTTTTTTTTATTATGATATAAACCTTTATTTGTAACAGGGTAACGCTGAAGCATTACTTCTTGAAGAAAATGAAGAAGAAGAAGATGAAGATGGTGAATCGCGAAGCTGGCGGCGATAGCAGCGTCAGCGTTATTCGTGACAAAAATTTGGTACCAGCTATAATGACTGTGTGATGATCTGGGCGAATCAATATATGCTCAGCACTTGCGCCATTGCTGCACTGTCGTTTGATGCATTAAATACCATGATTTTCACAAAAAAATCAGGTTACGAGCTCATACACGTTATCATGAGTGTTACACTATTTGTTAATATTATTAAATATATACATATGCGCATGATAACGGTATTATAAAGAAATATACCGTATCAAATTGCGTATCATGAAATAGAAAACAGATATACAAGTTTCCAACAACAACAACAAAAAACTAACCAAATTTATCCCATTATTTGTAGAATAAAATCGCTATGTTTTGTATGGGAAACATCTTATTCTGAATTCAAAGTCCTTTTTCTTTGTGTGTAGAATTGTGAATTGTCTCTTGTTATTTCTTTCGAGATATATCCATAATAAACAAATAACCAGACTTTTAGATATAAGTAGATACTTATAATTTTCAAAAATTTTACAATCGAAAGTGAAGAAACTATATTTATAACTTGTAAGATACAAATACAATTTATTATATAATTACCAAGTAAGATATAGCGTATAACGCTTCGAAGTAGTGTAATTGGTTTTTCTTTTTTACTTTCACTTAATGTACTATTTAAAATTGTTCCTGTAATGATGTACAGTATATTGTATAATTGTCATGATTTTCTTTTATCAAATATCAATGAAACTAAGTTGATTAGAATTGAAAAAACTTATTCGTGCATAATTTTACACTAGTTGTTTCAATATATACTGAAAAAAATAATATATAATTGTTACATATAAATTCTTAAAACTAATTTCTAAGGTAAGTATTAAATTCCGCAATAAATAAAACTCATAACAATATTGCGTCAAATTTAGAAGAAAAAAAAGAATCACTATATTTCAAACGCCTTTGGCATTTCGTTATATATATAAATAAACTTATTTGATACATTTTGAAAACAATTTTAAGTAAAATCCTACCCAATATTTTGTTAAACATTTCACTTTTTCAAATTAAATTATGTAAATAACTTTCATACAATTTTTTACATATTAAATTCTAAAATCTTAATCTATTTAAGACTTTCTTTTATTCCTTAATTCCAAATTTCAATATTATTTACTAAAGTATTTTTTTAATATATGATTATAAGCAAATAATTTATATTAAATTTTTAAACATTTTAATATCAAAATTCTTTATATTTTAAAACTCTTACAAAATATATTTATAACTTCTTTTTTGTTCTTTTATAATCATTTAAATACATTAAAAAATATGAAAAAAAAAAACAAAAATTATTTTTATAGACTAGCTTATATATTGAGCAAAACAAAATGTATATAATAAAAAAACAGTATATATAAATATATATAACAGTAGTAAAAACAGATAATATATATATAAACATAATTTCAATTAGAAAGCAAAATTCGCAAAAGAAATTATTCAAAATAATCATATAACATTTTATATTATGGAGACAACCAACCAGCTAATAAACTACCTAATAATAATTGTGCAACTGGTAATATTGACAATGGTAAATTCACAGCTGAACCATGAGCTGAACCATGATAAGCACCACGTAAAATCCAGCTACCAAGACCAACTGATTTGTGAGTACTTGTAAAAAGTGTAGCTAGCAAGATATTTCGGGGTAACCATCGAGAGCACAAAATCCAACATAAGCAGCTAATAAATAGTTGTCCCGCACAGGCTTGAACATAAAAGAATACTATCATAATGAAATAATAAAAGACATACTATATTTGGAATCAATTTAAATTAATAATATTTAAATACATATAAATTCTATATACATGCATTATTGAACAAGAATTTTTACTACATTGCTATTTAATGTTCATTTGGTTATATTAATATAAGTTTTAATTTAAATTATTATAAACTTACCAATTAATACACATAATAACACATCAGAAGCTTGCAGAGATGATGCATCTACTAACAATGCATCACAAAACCAATGATATGCTGTAGCTAATAGTAATCCTTGAGAAATCCAAGGTGATTTAATTTTTGGACAAATATCATATTTTAAAATAATAATTTGAATTGTAATACCAATAATTAATGGTATAATAGTACTATAAATGGTTTCTTTTATGTTTATACCAACCAGGGGTGGTGTAGATGCTCCTAACTAAAAGAATTAAAACTCTTATAAAAGAAAACTATATTTTAAATTTTAATAGTGAATAATTACCACAAAATATAATAATATAGGAGATATAAATAATCCTCCAAAATGAGATACTAAAGTAATCACAATGCTTGTTGATAAATCTGCTTGTGATAATCGACATAATACAAAACTTGTATTAAATGGAGGTGGCATGCAGTAAAGTACCTAAAATCCAAAAAATTAAATTATTATCAATATTTATATATAATATAATTAAAGATATTTTGTGTATGTGTGTATATATATATATTTACTTCCATTCCTTTCAATAACCACACATTGACATTGGCATAAGTCAATAAACATACCCCAAGTCTCATAAGAAACGGCATTAAAATATATATAAAAGTCATTGTAAATATTAAAAGAGAACCATTGCTTAATGTTAAATAAAGCATTTTTGGATCACACAATAAACCTGCTTCTAAGTATGTTAAAGGAATAGCAAAATATCGAATGATAACATTTCCATTCAGAACACCTATAATAAATAAATAACATAAAAATGGTAATATACAAGTATATTTATTTAATTATTAATTATTAATAATTTAAAATTATATATATTTAATTATTTGTTTATAAATTAATACCATTTGTTTTACCAAAATGTGGTTTAACAGAAGCAAGTATCATACATAAAAGCATTAATAAAAAATATCCATATCTATATAAAAGTTCATTTTGTTTTTTTTTTGGTGGAATATTTTGCATATAATTTCCTTGCATTTTTGCTTAATTTTATGTATGCCTGTAATAATTTAAATATCTTAATATGTATTTATTTTTGAAAATTTTTATTTATGTAATAATATATAATAAAAGCAAATGAAATATGATTTATTACAATGAAAAAATGTTAGTAACAATAAAGAGGATGCAAACCATTATGAAATTATATCAGCCTACAAGCAAGTTCAACCAGTGAAACTTTTTTTTCTGACTCTTCTTTGAAGAAATTTCATGCGTTGTCTTCTTTATAAGAATTTATACGTGCACATTTGGATAAAATATTATATTTATTATAATCCTATTTAAACATGCTTAAAATATTATAATTAAGTAAAGAAAATCTTATTGTCTATAATACTATGTTATTAAATCATACATTTATTAATCATTTATACTATTTTTTATCACTAAAAGTCCTGTAAAATTCATAATTTAATTAATGTAATATAAAATTAAATATATAAATGCATCTAAATTAAAGCAATACTTTTAAAATTTATAAAATGCAATGATATTCTTTTAATAATAAGTTTTTTATTCTAAAATTTGTATTATTCAATTTTTTTTTTATTAAATGAAATGTATATATAAAATAATAATGCTTTGTGCAAATTAAAGTTGCATTCAAACATAATTGTATATTTACACTTGTTGTGTGTTGATGTTAAATTCAAAAATTGTATTTTAAAAAATGAAAAATTATTACATGACCGTAGTAAATATATTTAAACTTTTCGTTATAATTCATTAATATTTGTTTAAAAAATTTCAAAATTATTAATCACAAATATTTTTATATGGTATTTAGTTGTTCTAAATGTTTATTATTTTTAACAATTAACTATTTAGATAACAAATAATATAATACTCTGATACATATCGTATCAAAATATATTAAGAAAATTCGATTTCATTTTCTTACGCATGCGTAGTTACAAAAAAATATTTTCATATATCCTTAAATTAAAATTAAATTTTTACTAAAAAAATATCATAAATAACATAAAATTTATTATTTGTTTAAATAATTTATTTAAATTTAATAAGATATATGTTTACAAAAAAAAATATGTTTATAATAAAAAGATTCTATAATTCATTTATTAATTAAATGTTAATAATTCAAACATTTATATTCATTTTATAATTTTATATTACTAAAATTATTCATATCAAAATATTCATACTTGAAATAAATAATAAAAATATTTATATCAATTTTGGTTTTATAATTTTTGGTATTAATTTTTAATAAATAATAAAGAATAAACAAAAGAAATCTATTTGTTAATTATTTATTATAATAATATTAATAATAATACAATAATAATATTAATAATAATAATAAGATTAATGAAACAACAGTATATGTAAACATGGCATATTACCACAATACCTTTACTGCCATAAGTAGGGGTCCACCCTTCTTGGCACATAGTTTGAAGCTTAATAGCTCCTTTATCGATTATTCACATTTTTTTCTTACAAAACTTCGTAACTTTTATACATAGCACGGTCTATAACTACATACATAACATTGCTTTGTAAACGAGGTTATACGCTCACGAAAATTAATATTTAATCGCATTACTTTTTAAAACTTTGATAGTGTAACAGAAAATTTTTTAATTGACTTTATTTTTAAGAATTGAATTTATACTGAAAATAAAAGACATAAATAGTTTGTAACGCAAACTACAACAAAAAAATCTCATGATATTAAAAACTCCAATCGAAATCATTTTATAAATGGTAATGCAAAGCATTACACGTTATATTTTCTTTTTCTAAATATAAATATTGAAATGCTCCAGTAACGCAAATATATAAAAGATCACATATTAGCATGCTCAGATACAAAAATACTAAACAAAGGCTCTGATTTGTTTATTAACTAAAAGCCAAATAATTATACATAAGATTTATCTATTCAATGTTATTTTGAGGAACAAAGGATATTCATTGGATGTATTTATATGATATAGGATTTTAAATTCACTATATTATGATAAACCATTAGTTTTTGTCATTCCTGATCAAGAAACACAATGTATTACAAAACAAAAAATGAAGTAAAAAAGATCATTAGTCAATCTGTCCAATATAGCAAAATTTGTAATACTTTAAATTTGACACACATTTGAAATGAATACATTTTTTTTTTTTGAATTTTTGTATTAGTAAATAAAATAAGAAATATCTAATCAATAGTACCACCTATATTAGAAACATGGATTATTATATATCAATATTTATCCAATATATATATATATATATATATATTATATTATATTATATATACATATATTAGAAACACAAAGAAAACTTGTATAATATGAATTCTAGAGCATGCCAAAGATAATATGACTATAAAAAAATATTATAAAAATAATTTAAACTTAAAACATTTTACGTTCAAAGATTCTCTCTATAACTGTTTGTAATTTTAAGAATTATTTCCTTATATAAAGAACACACAGAGTGAAATTGTAAATTTCAGATTAGGAATTATGTTTAAATGAAGTTCTATGTTAATTGTCAATTTCTATTTAGTCATCAAAAAATTTTCTACTTAGACATATGATAAACACAGTATGTATGTAAATAACATGTATTATTTATTATTTGTTCATTATTAATTTAAAAAAACATGTATATAAAATTATTGTCAATATAAAAAATATTGAATCTGACAAAATATAAAAATTATTCAAAAATTATTATTATGATATATTTAAAGTAGTAGTCTTTTATCTAATGAAAATTGCAGAAAGAAAAAATTATCTAAATTTCTATAAGAATTTGATGAAAATTAAAGATGGATAATACAGAGATTATTTAATATTTAAACACTAAACAATACACAACACTGAACTATTATTATATGTAAATATCTATATATAAAAATACAATGTATTTGTAATAAACAATTTGTCACAATTTACTGTTAGTATTTCATTTTATATACTATACAGTAATTCTTAAGTAAAAACGGGAAGAACAAAAGTATCACACGATGATATGTCAAAATATTAGGTAATAAGTGATATTAAAAACATTATCATTTCATTTCCGTCAATATTGTTTTTATGATATTAATTTTACACTAAAAAATAGTAATATTGTAAAATAATTGTATATTGTAATTACACAAAGTACATAAGTAAATACATGTAACATTAAAGGTACATAAGAAAATATTTAATAAAATTATTCTCATTTTATAAAGAAATAGATTTTTTTTACACTTTTTATATTTTATAAGATAAATAGACGATAATGACGAACAATAGAAATAATCATTAAATTTTTCAAAACTTATGTACCTATTTTTATTTTATATAAAAGAAAAAGATCAAACATAATATACATAAGAAAATAGAATATTAAATTACTGTATTACCCATCTAATGAAATATAAAATATGAATTTATTATTTATTTGTAATTTAAGGTTAATTCACAGCTTATATTATTAATGTAATATCTCCATCACATGTTGTAAAAATATACCTGCTATTGTACAATTTCACTCTGTATATCATATTTTCTTGCTATCAAATTAATCATAGTTTTACTTCTAAATTAGAGTTACTTTATATCACAATATCTCAAGGCACTTAAAAAAATTCTTTTTTTCTTAAGCACCTTTTCCCCTTCTCATTTAGTCTGACATAAATATAACATAGAACATTCAAAAGTTTGTAGTACTATTGCTTCTATTGACTTTTTTACCCACTGCTCGAGACGATGTTCTAGTTGGTGTAGGTCTTAATTTGTAGCCTCCTGCATTCATTGTATTATTAATAGCCGCTACGTTTGGAGCAATAGTTTTTAGACACTTAGCCGCTTCTTGCAATTGCTTTGACAAAATTTCATTTTTTAATTTTTCTGCATTAAGTTCCCGTCGAAGTTGTGCTTTTGTTTTATTTCCAAATGGACACAATACTCTGTGCTGTATAAGACAAATTGCTGATGGTCTCATTTCAGGATTTGGATGAATCATTAACTATACAAAAAAAAAGAAATTTATTATTATATTACATATTCTATAAAATAAATATTTAAATAATAGAATTAAAGAATGAATTTACTTTAAGTAATTCATTAAGATCACGACTATAATGAGATAATTCCTTTAAATTTCCATTTCTAATATCATGCCATTCTGGTCCATTTTTAGGTAATGGACCTCCACCACCTGCTTCATAAACAGTTAATCCAAAAGCAAAAATATCAGCTTTTGGTAAATGACTAAAGTCTTCGCGTAAGATTTCAGTTGGCAAATATCTACAATCTCCTTCTTCGACTTGAGGATTATTAACAGATGTAACATGACCCAAATCTCCTATTTTATATGTAATTTCTTCTTCTATAGTTTCCTCTTCGTCGAAACCATCATCAGCTGAATCATAATTAACTGCGAGTAACCTCTTTTCTTTGGAAATAATATGTTTCCAGGTTTAATATCCATGTGTACTAATTGCATACTGTGAATATATCTTAAACCTTCAGCAACATGTAACAACAATTGTCGTATTTCTGCTTCAGTGAAATGTTTTTTTTCCTTTTCTAAATTGATAATTGCATCTGCTAAACTACCACCATTACAATATTCATTTTGAATTATCATATGATTATCTTCTGCCCATGCAGAATAATATCTCACAACATGTTGATGTTTACCAAGTACAGCATGCGCATACACTTCATTTAAAGCATTCTTTTCATTAATACTTCCAGCAACTGGTTTAATACTTTTTTTAATAGCATAAGTGCATCCATCTAATCGGTTAATACACTTGTAAACTGAACCAAATTCACCTGTTCCAATTAAACCAAGTTCATGGAACTCTTGATGATATCGTAAAATATTTGAATCTTGTAATGCAACACGTTTTGTAGCTTGTTCTATTTCATTATCAGAATCTTCGGAATCGGCAAGATCAAATTTTGGTATTTGAATATCTGGAGATCTAAAGTTAAGAAAAAAATAAAATAATTTTTATTATGAAATCAAAAATATTATCACATTTGATTTTTATACTTACCCATTAAGACTACGTTTAGATCTAGTACGTTTTCTTGCAGTTAACAACATTCCATTTGGTGTAAAAGGATTTACATTAGCAGTAGGTTTGTCAGATTTATTTTGATAATTACATGATCTAGATTTGTCTAATGAAAATAGTCTAGTACACTTAGATGGAAATGGAGTATGCATTGCACTCTTTTCCATTAATGTCTTTGGAGTAGCAGGAGAATCAAATAGACGTAAAGCTCTAACACGTTTATAAGGTGGACTACATGCCATTGATATTTTTTGAGAACATATATTTTCACGAGGTGGAATTCTAATTCTTGATGTACCTGCAATTTATATTTTTTAAAACAAATACATATTTGATGCAAAGTTTTCCTTGTATTGAAACTCCATGCAAAAAAATTTGTGTTCATTATTTCATTATGAAGCATAATCAATATATTTTTATATATATCTTTCATATTTTTTTTTTCATATCTTTGATATTTTATATTTTTTTTCATACCTTATATTTTTTTTTCATAATTATAATATTTTTTTTAATATTTTCTTTTTATTTCATATTTTTGATTTTTTTCCATACTTATATTTTTTTTATATTTTCTTTTTATTTCATATTTTTGATTTTTTTTTCATATCTTTGATATTTTATAATTAATATTTTTTTCCATATTTTTTTAATATTTTCTATTTAGTTGATACTTTTGATTTTTTTTCATATCTTTAATATTTTATATTTTTTTCATATTTATATATTTTTTTTTATTATATTCTTATATTCTTTCATAGTTGATATTTTTTATTTCATATTTTTAATATCTTTTTTTTATTTGATACTCTTGATTTTTTTTCATATCTTTGATATTTTTATATTTTTTTTTTATTTATATTTTTTTAATATATTTTTTTTTTACTTCATATTTCTGATATATATATATATATATATATTAATTTATATATAAATATATATATATATTATTTTATTCTATGTGTTCATTATTTCATTATGAAGCATAATCAATATATTTTTATATATATCTTTCATATTTTTTTTTTCATATCTTTGATATTTTATATTTTTTTTCATACCTTATATTTTTTTTTCATAATTATAATATTTTTTTTAATATTTTCTTTTTATTTCATATTTTTGATTTTTTTCCATACTTATATTTTTTTTATATTTTCTTTTTATTTCATATTTTTGATTTTTTTTTCATATCTTTGATATTTTATAATTAATATTTTTTTCCATATTTTTTTAATATTTTCTATTTAGTTGATACTTTTTGATTTTTTTTCATATCTTTAATATTTTATATTTTTTTCATATTTATATATTTTTTTTTATTTATATTCTTATATTCTTTCATAGTTGATATTTTTTATTTCATATTTTTAATATCTTTTTTTTATTTGATACTCTTGATTTTTTTTCATATCTTTGATATTTTATATTTTTTTTTATTTATATTTTTTAATATATTTTTTTTTTACTTCATATTTCTGATATATATATATATATATATATAATTTTATATATAAATATATATATATATTATTTTTATTATCTATTATATTTTTGATATTTTATATATATATATATATTTTTTTTCTATATATTCTTTCTATATATATTCTTTTTTTCGATATATTTTTTTCTATATATATTCTTCATATTTTTATATATATCCATATATTTTATATTTTTTTCCTATTCTTCATATTTTATACACACGCGCACGCGCATACACACACCACACATATATATATTTCGATTTATCTCGAAATATCCCAAAAAATGAAATAATATAAAAAAATGTTTTAAATTAATATTTTTTATATATAATTTTTTATATATAAAAATTATTTATAAAAAGATATAATATAACATATATATAGAATGAAATTTTAAAATTATTTTTTTTTTTAAATGGACCCATATAACTTTTATTACACAAGTTGATGCATTTCATTATTTATATATATTATTATATATAAAGTACTAACTATTTATATCAAAAAATTTTTAATTTATAACATGTTCTAATTTGAAATTTGTAAAATTTATTACATGAAAAACAAGGAGAGTTGTAAAAAATATCATTTTACATGTTCCTTATTATCTTTCAAGTTTTACAAATTTTAATATCTTTTAAAATGAAGATTTTTCGATATAAATAGCTTATTACTTTCGTAAGAAATAATGAATCGATCAGTTAATGCAATAAAAATTATATGATTTTATTTAAAAAATTAAGATTAATTTTTATATGATTTCTATATTTCCATCTAGAAAAAAACTATTAATATTAGATAATGTATCTCTTTCTATCAAACAACTTTTGTTTGAAATATTTTTTTGTATTATTTATATTTTTCGAGATATTTAACTAATTCAAGATAAATCGGTATATACATTTTAGAAACCGACCAAGAAGATATAAAAAGTGATTCCTAAATGATTTCAAATAAATCATTTGATAAATCAATGATTTTAAATAATAAATAAATAAATTTTTCTTTTATAAAAATTTTTAATTGGACTTTATTAACAAGTTACTAATCAAAAATACAGATATTATTTTCTGAAAGATCAATACGAAATTTAAGGAAGAAGAAGAGAAGGAAAAAGATATCTCCCAAATTTTAGTTTTCGAAATATTTATGAAAAACACTTAATATTATACATTGAATTTTGTTTACAAACG